AAATAAAAAAAAAATTAAATGCAAAAAATTAATAATTAATATAAGATACTTATAAAGCTTAAAAACTTTGAAAACTAAATAGCCAATATTTTTGAAAGTGTTTTGATCTTCAGCTATTAGTTGATATCTTAAAAGTTCTAGGTCACGATTGATCAACTGGGGAGCTTTTGAGAAAAGTTTCTTCATTCATTCCAGAACTAATTTATGGAACATGGTAGTTAGATAYTTTTTAAGCGATTGATACTGTTGCCGACGGAATTTAATATTTATTTGGATTGAGAATAATTTACCAAAAGTTTTTTATATAAAATTCGATAACTAACCACCAAAATAAGATTTAGGTAGGATGGTAATTTGGTACAGGAAATCGCTTGGTAATGTGTCTGTGAGCTGAAAATTAAAAAAATAGGCACAGCACTGCCTTTTAAGAAGTTTAATGTACATATCTTTTGAACCAAGTAAGGTACAATATACAAATTTGTTCGGGACAAATCCCCTAAGCACACAACCGACACTGTAAAAGTAGATAAAATTGAGGCGAGGTTATCCRCTCACTGCCTAAATAGCGGTTCCGTTAAAAATACTAAAAGCGCGATAAATAAGTAAATAAATACTTTAAGACGCCTTTATTGGAGTCGCTGCTCAAAATCGGACCTAMACTATTCACGCCCCCAGATGCCGAATATGTGGATCAAAGTAGCAATTGCAAACTTTTTATCGAAAATATCGGTAAATATGTGAGATATATATATTATAGAAATTCGGAGAGTAMAAATTATTTTCTAATAGTAGTATGCCTGTGGAAACTATATGCATACAAATCTCTATATATATAAGTGATCTTAACCCTGTTAGTTTATAAAAGTAGTTCAATAATGAACTATATTGGGCTTCTCATATCTTCCTGTCTTTACAAAAATCTTTGCGAAGTCCAATAACGGGRGAGAACTTTTTTAAGATCCTCCATATGTCGGATAATTTTCAAGATCTTCTATAGATACTCGTATGAAAACTAGCCCGGTTAAGTATCTGAAAATAATCTAAGCGCCAATGTTTCAGTAATTTCCAAATCTATATTCAAAGAGCCTACGTACTAAGTTGCTCGATAGTGAYATTAGTTAAGTAGGATAAGTTTCCATATGTAACGTCTTCCAAGCCAAGAGTAGTAAATTTTACTCTAAATTAAATTGAAGGCTTTTGTAGAAGAAGTTAGACTCAGGAGTCTAGAAAAAATTCACAATTCCTTGAAAATTCCTAAGTCCTCCTCTTGTTATGTTAAATCATAGGCGTCGTGACAGCTGACAGACCTCTGAGACTAGATAACACTACTCAACAAAACTGAAGGAAAAATTTGCGACTAAGTGCTAAGAGGTCTCATTGGTATTTGTACTGTCCTGATTAGGAATTTGAGTTCAAAAGATTTCCATCAAGTACAGCTACATATTTTTATCATTTTAATAATTGGTGATGCTTTGATCTCTACTCTCCTTGACTACAACAAGGAAATTTACTATTATATATATTGTTAGGAAATTTTTATTATTATTTTCATTTTTAGGAAATAGAAATGACAAAAAACAGTCTCTAACAATGGAAAATGACTGTAAACTAGTGTAACTTTTAAATCCGAAGTCTGGAAGGAAGGTCTGGAAAAGCAGGTAAAATGCCCAATATGGTGTTTGAAAATGGTGCTTTTRAAGGTATTGATCCCACCGTCATATATCAATCCTCTTTCAATCTAAATCTTTTCCTAAAATTACTATTTAAAATTGAGAGATGGAAACCAGATATAGTATAAACAAAAAAACCGTATAAAGCTGCAAATAATGGTTCAGATTCTATCAATGGTTGTCTTTTATTTTTGATTATACTATAAGTGCTCTTTTTGCAATAGTCCGGTTGGTTCTCAGATAAAAATTCGGCTTTTATGTTTTTATTTTTTTTCCCAGGTAAATGCCTTTTTTGTCTTGGTAAAAAGTTTCCCTTTCAAGAAAAAGGTTCTGCGTAAGATTTAAGGTCCGCATTGGCAAACGGTGTATACCGTAGTCGACGGAACGATGAGCCGTTCGAAATATACGACTCTATTATGACGTCCTGTAGAAGATTCTATGTGCAAATTTTATCTCTAATCCTCTTCCGAAAAATATGTGTAGAAATATTTCAAAATATTCAAAAAAATAGGTAATCTTTATAAACGTTAGGTTATGAAGTCAGCTAAGAATGCCGGTGYTTTTAAAAATTGGGTCATAAGACCCTTAAAGATCGATAAAGCGCTTTGAGTTTATCAGAAATTTGTTGGGATGGCTGATATCAGTTTCAGCTATGTATTATGGTTCGCCGAAGGTCAGATTACAGTAGTGTTTCAGTGTCTAGATGTTTCTACCCTACCCTCCTCCATATAACTTTGACAACTGGTGATGGAAAGATTTTAAACCTTACCGCATGAATACCTACTGRACAACGTAATCCTACGATTGTGGTAAGATGAACTTTGCTCAGGGCAAGGAGTTCAGCAGATCTTTTGCAATAGAATATATCAGGTAAATAGAAAATGTATCGTTATTTTTCTCATTGATTCTTAAAAAAATGTTCAGCTTTAAAAAGTATGCTAAAGCTTTGTGACTTTCAACCTTTAAGCCTTTAAACTTTGCTAGGAAATTTCAACATTTGTAGGACTTTATWAAAATTAATTACTTGAACTTTCCCTTCCAAGCCATTTTTTGCATTAAAAATTTCCTTAGTAATATATTTAGACTGTTCACACGTCTTTCGCTCCCAAAACTATGCAGCCATGCACAATTTTACGCAACTCATCATTTGTTCGGAGCGCAGAGAGAAATTTATTAAAATAATCCGCTTATGAAACATAAGACACGAGCGTAAGTAGTTAGAGGAGAGGAAGTATAGCAAACAAATTGCACACAAAAAACTTTAGCTTATCAGCAAATGAACACGCTTCAGTGAAATGCGAAATTCATTCCGATTATTTTTCTCTCTGATTTCCTTWTAGAAATGGAAAATGACCCCAAAACGGCAACTGATGTTATTACTGCTATCACTGCTGCTGGTACAAAAACAAATAGCCCGACAACACACAAGCTGAGCAACAACAATAGGAACAACACGCAACCAACGGAATGAAAATATGAATTTCTACAAATGTAATAAAATCCAATAATAAAATATACACACACATATATTTATAGCTACACATGTGTGGGTGCGCGCCAATGTGTGCCATAAAGGAATTGTGCTCGTAAACAGCGAATTAAAGTGAAAACTGGGCRTAGAAACGCGTTGCAAACGAAAAGTGTAGCATAACTTCAGGCGCATAAATGAATTACCGTGAAATYAACGCGCGCAGCAGATAAGCGTATTAGTGTGTAAAGGTGATGAAAAAATAAGTGGGGTAACGGTGTACGCGCAGTATTGCTTAGTGGCGAGAGTGAGAAGTACGGGCGGAGACTGTGGACCACCCATGAGGCGGTAATCAACTTTCCGTGAAATATACCGGCGGCCAACCACGAGTGTACAAAAACAATAAGTTAGCATTATCAACAACAACAAAACCGAAAGTAAGCAGTCAAAGTTAAAACAACAACAACAGCAGCATCAGCAACATGAAGGGCTTAGCAGCATTTAAGGAGAAAGCAACGGGCGCTTTCAGTGGGTAAGTTGGCTACTGCATAATAGTACACAAAATAGCAACAAAAGCAACAACATGAAAAGAACATTCTCACACAAAGTTCGAAATTTAATTTAACGGACCACTGACTGGACAGATTCGGCAGACCACGGTCATATTGTTGGTGGTTGCAATATGACTGAACGGCAATCAAATTTTATTTTTGTTGTTGTTGCCGTTATAGTCAAATCARTGGCGCTACTTGAGCTGGCGGAAAATGAAATCATTTGTTACGGTTTATTACTGCAACGAATTCCAAACGTATTTCATGCGCTTTGTGGGCCCCCTGAAAGACTTTAAAGCTTGGTAGAGGGAGAGAGACTCGAAGTAGAGCTGTAACTTTTAAAACAAGCTTATCACGCTTGACGATTGAATTTGCTATATTCGATAATTTTTTTTTTCGTAAAATATAAAAATATTTTTAGCGAAAAAATTCAACAAMTAGTTTACTTGAAATGCTGATTTTTCAATCTTGGCTGCGAAGTCATTAGAAACTTTGTAAAYGGTTTAAGGGAGTCTTCTTTGTAAGGATGACTCGCGTTCGAAAAGCACGAAGCAATCAGTGAAGGTTGTGAAGTCCCCGAAAATTTGTCTCAAGTGAATGATCCATCCATCTAGAGAACTGTAACATTTCATATGGATTGACTCAACAAATTTTGGTTATTGTGCTYAATGCTAGCCTCATACCAATATATCTCAATCTTTTGTAAAAACGACGTACTAGACTTCTACTACATTCCTTACACTCATTATTACTACTTACGAAATGTAGTTTTATCAATTCGACGTTGACACTCTCCGAATATTTAGCGAATATGTGCTCCCAAATAAGCCATACTTTATAAGAATTTTTAATTGTTACAAACATACTCTACTAACAAAGAAATTTTTAAATTTTGAAAAAAATATTATAAACTCAGCAATTGCGACGCCAATTCCGATGACCCCTCGGAAAAATGAATCGCCCGCTTTGGCAGGACCTTACAGAATCATTTAAAGTGTAAAAAATACGTGCTTTAGTTAACACCTTAACTTAGAACTTGGACGAAGGAAAAGAACTGAAAATTGGATTTTTAGCAGATATTTTTCAAAAAAAAAAAATAAAATTTCGCGATAATTTTATTTTCAAATAGTTGTAATCGAACAAAAAAATCTTCATCCAATTCTTTAAGAAATATATCACAAAGACCTGTGTAAATTTTCATGAAGATCGGTTTTGTAGTTCAGGAAAATCTTGCCAACCGACTTCAAAAACACCRTTTCGAGAAAAACGCGTCTAAAGACGGCGCACTTAGCCTTGCTAGCCTTGAGCGCACAACTTCTCAAGGCTGCATCTACGAAACTATTACTCAAATCAACTTGAAAATTTAGAACAATATTCTAGAGGTGTTGTAGAATTTAATAAGACAATATAAAAAAAAATTGATTTTTTGGAAGCCATAAAACCATGTAAGCCCATAAAGGCGGATATCAGCTCAACTAGATACGAGTAGAATGATGAAAACCTTGGCTACATTATAATGTATGCGCTCAGTATCTAATAACTAGTTCGATTTGATATTTTTCGAATAAGAGTTGTTTTAACGAATGAGAAATAAAATGTAGGCTAGAACTTTTTTTATAGCATTAACTCTATGAGTATCCGAGCACACTGAACTTTTGGTTATCTGCCATAACAAGTTCGGCACATAAAAAATGCACTTCGCTTCAAAAAGTCTAAGGATGTGTTGGCTTATTATTTCGACTGACATTTCGTTCTATCAGTTTACCCAGCATTTTTGCATATACTCGTAGCATGTAGGTTTACACCTCTAAATCATTCTAACCTGAACAGGGTATATTAAAATTATATTATTATAATTACATTGTGGGTACTGGAAATTGTAAATAAAACGAAAAATATTTATGTAACAAATATTTATTTTGTCACCGTCCAAGTAATCCCCACCAGATGTATTTCACTTATGCCAATGGGTTTTCTAGTCCCCGTTACACTTCTCGTAAACAGATTTTGGGACGGCCTTCAGCTCCTTCAGCAAATATTGTTTTATCTCTTCGATTGACTGAAAGCGGGTGCCATTCCGATGATTGTTGACTTGTTTATGTCAAACTCCTAAGCCCATGTCTGATCGGTAGTTAAAAGATTCTTAATTAATGTGGTATTGGAATTCACATGATCAGGCCTGTCCAAAGAGAAATGTTTACGGTRCTCTGCTTGAAAAAAAAGCAGCTTAAACGTGACGAGTCAAGCTAGGAAACCCAATATAACCACCAAAATCATTCGAACGGGTTTGCAAGAGATATRGAGACACAATTTTCCATATCCTTTACTTTTTTAACATTTCCATCAGTTAAAGGGGCGAATGGCGTACAGTACGAGATACTTAAGAAGCTGCTCATTTGTCATTGCGGACCACATATGGCTACCATTCAATGTAAACATTCGCAATCTAGTGCTTGTAAGAAATATTTTGTATTTGTGGAGGGTATTAAGGCTTCGGTGCAACCGAAGTTATTTTTTTTTTGTTTTTGTTTTTTTTGGTGTGTTAATCAACCACTTTATGATAATTTTTAAAGTCCGAAATTCGTGTATGATTTAGAATTGAATACTGACAAGCAATTGAAATCTTTTCAATATAATTCTTTAAATATTTCTAGGGAGAAGGAAAAGTTTCGAACATAAATCATACAAATAAACCGATACTTAAAATTTTCTTAGAGCTCTTTATCTCCGGAAATTTAATACTATAATATCAATTTAGACCAGACCAATTCAATAATAGCTCAATTAGCATTTAATTGGCAAAATTTGTTTTGTAATCTCTTCTCATTCAACTTGAAATAATATTTCCTAAAATAAATTGAGTATATTACACAGAACACAAAATTCAACTGAAGCATTAATATCTAAAACTCCTTGGCTAATTGACAAGGTTTTTGCATTGTACTTAGCTTGATGGATAAAATACTTCTTCCGTTAAGCATCATTTTTTATCTGATATTAGAGGACCCATCCACGCTTCACTGTGGCTGATATTTAGACAATCCATCACCATCACTACTACCATCTATATGAGTTCTATTAGTTGGATTATAACTATTGGTTACTGAGATGTAGCATCTTTGTGAAGCAATTTGTGTTAGTTTACAAAAAAATGGATCAAAAGCGTTTCGTGTGTTATTAAAGCATTACTTTTTGGGGAAAAATACTGTTAAATTTGGGCTCAGGGAAATCCATCGTTGAAAAGATATTTGCTAAGCTGGAAACAGGCGAAATGAGCACTGAGGACAATGATACTCTAAAGAGGCGAAAGCTCTGTCCAAAGTGGATCTGCCAAAACAACAATGTGAGCTCTACGAACAATTTTCTAATGCAGTTATTTTAGTAAAAAAAAAAGTGTATGCAAATAAGGTCCATTAAACGCTTAAGAAGACTAAATGTGCGTGTGTGTTTGTGCGCCCGGAAAGTTGTAAAATTATTGACATACCAATAACAACTCAAACCCAGCTGATAGCTCAGAGAAGTCAGCGAAGGACAAGCCGATGATACAAGCAAAAATTGAGAGTGGTTTGCGTCACAAACAAAAACCTGAAGAAGCAAGTGAGAAGAAAAGAAAAGAATCGTGAATTGTGAATTGTGAACGTAGAAATTCCAAGCGTATGACATTGAACGCGCTGGCATGCCGAGTATGACACGCGGTGCGCATCATTCAGCAAAATATAGATGGGTGCGTCGCCACGAGGCGTTGATGTCTCGCACTTGTGGAGCCGGAATTCCGGGCACGTTCCATGCACGTGCAACCAGGATGAAGCCGAGAAGAAAGTGCACGCGCTCAACGGAAATTTTTATGAAGTGCGAGCTTTATGAGCTCTCAACTCTATTTGCTAGGTAACAGAAGCTGCGTAGGTGTTGTGGGCATGTGATTGCGGCAAGTGGCGTGGGTTGCAGTAGGAATGTCATGTAATTTAGAGTAGCGAGCGATATATTTAGCTCACTCARGAGTGATTGAGTAATTTGAGATGTCATTTAGGACATATAAAGGATTACATTAARTTTATTGAATGGGTTTAACCATTGAAGGCGCTGATTCTGCAGTATATGGAGTGTAGTGCCTAGAAAACAAGAAAGTTGTACCTTTGTTCATTGTCATAGTAAACGACGATATGACAATGAGTCATAATAATAAAGGACTTGTCATTTTAAGTAAACTTAGGTGGGTTTGAAAGTCAGAAAAACTAATTTGTCTGTTTTTCCGTGTCCGAAGTCGCTTAACCTTAGTGGAGGATTCGGTTACGGTGGCCAAATGCTTTAAACTTAGAGAAATTAATTTAATTTTCAAGAGTTAGATTAAGTCATATGGGCAATTCTAACAGGGATCTCAGGCTCAGTCTTRCAAAGACTGGACAATGGAGAAGAAAGTGGTTGGATGTTTCGATCGCACCTTAATCYATACAACTTTGACAATTGGTGTTGGACTGGATTTTTAGACTTATAGCAAGAATGCCTAATGGACAATGTGCATTACCCCAACGAGCAAAGGGTAAAATTTGACCGCGATAAGGTATGGCTGTCGAGGCGATTAAAAACCAGCGTAGCTTCGTTTGGGATATTGTAGCAGATTGAACACCTACTTATCCAGAATAGACCCCGACATATTCAATATATGTCCTGCGTTCAATGAGTATCCGCATGACACTGACCACCTCTTTGCGTGCCCTACCAACCCCACTCATTTAACACCCCTCTGCTTTTGGTGCGACCCCTTCGAAACAGCACGTTTGTGGGCCTTTCGTTAGATGACGTCGACTACAACTTGGCCAACCTTTACCATACCAAAGGGTCTAGGTGCCCGTTAGAACAACAAAAACAACTAAAATCCATATGCACTATGTCGGTATTTTTTGGCTTGCCGCGAACTTTCAGTATAGTCTTTGTCAGAAATAGTACTGTAATGCTCAGCTTAAACTGATATTATAGACTTTGA